CTCGGGGTGACTCAGCAGCCACGGGAAACCCAGAGATTTTGGGCTGGTTTTACTGGAAATGGGAGGGGTTTCTGTCAAAAATTGGCATTTTCATGGTGGATTTGAGGAGGGAAAAATGCAGAATTTGTGTCTTTTATCTTAAAGCTTCCGGGTTGTTTTTATTGGAAATTTTAGTGTTTTTGAAGAGGAGATTCCTGTTAAAAATTGGCATTTTCGTGGTGGATTTGAGGAGGGAAAAATGAAGAATCTGTGCCTTTTATTTTAAATCTTTGGGGTGATTTTACAGTAAATTTGAGCATTTTTTAAGGGGGAAAATGGGGAGATTTCTGTTAAAAATTGCCATTTTACATAGAAAAAATGCAGAATTTGTGCGTTTTATCCTAAAGCTTTAGGATGATTTAACACTGATTTAAATTTGCTGAGGTTTGATTTAACCGTAAATTTAAATTCATTTGGATTTAAATTAACAATAAATTTGAATTTTTTTAAGAGGAAAACCAAGGAGATTCCTGTTGAAAAAAAATCACAATTTTCAGACAGATTTTAGGTGGGAAAACCACAAAAATCTCAATTTTATACCTTCAACCCCACCCAAACCATTTCCTTCCCATTTTAATTTCCTTCTCCACGTTTTGGGAACCCTAACACCACCCCACTCCTTTTTTTCACTCACTTTCCTCATCAATTTTCAGCTCCTCGTTGTTTTTGATTTTTTCTGCCATTTCTTTCTCATTGAAGCCTTTGCTGGCCAAGAATTTGATTTTATATTCGTCCCACGACACGTGGCCTGGAAAAAAGGGAAAATCTCAGCCTAAAATGATGAAATTTTAGCACAAGATTTAAAAAAAAAAAGCAAATTTTAAAATATTTTGGTCCAGAATCACAACCCCCATAGCAAATTTTATAAAAAATGGGAAAAAAAGTGGATTTTACTGTCCCCATCGGGGTCCATGGCTCAAAAAGTGATTTTTGGGTGGAAAAAAGTGGATTTTACCATTCCCATCAGGGTTCATAGGTCAGAAATTGATTTTATTCTGGGAATTTTTTATTTAGAGACCCGAATTAACTCAAAAAGTGATTTTTGGATGGAAAAAAAGTGAATTTTACCATCGCCATTGGGGTCCAAGCACAGAAATGCATTTTGTTCTGGGATTTATTTTTTTTTAAGAACCAGAATTGATCTGAAGAGTCATTTTTGGGTGGAAAAAGTGGATTTTACCGTCCCCATCGGGGTCCACAGCTCTGAAATGCATTTTGTTCTGGGATTTGTTTTTTTTTTCACAGATGAGGATCAATTCAAAAATTGATTTTTGGGTGGAAAAAGTGGATTTTACCGTCCCCATCGGGATCCACAGCTCTGAAATGCATTTTGTTCTCATGCACGGCCTCCTGGAAGTGCTCATCTGTTTTCTCCATGATCCAGCGCTGCATCTCCTTGGCACTGATTTTTCTGTCGTTGTTCACGTCCACCCTGGGGGAGGAAAAAGA